GAATAACAAACTTGGAAGGCAACACTGGCTGAGGTGGGCTTGGGAAGAGAGTAGGTTGTGAAGAGGGTCTCCTAATCAGGCAGGAAAATGTCAACACAGCCAAACAAAGCTTCACTGTGTTCTTTTAAATCATGCGCCTGTAAGTTTGCCACATGTCCCAGCTACTGCGCACAGTTTCACTTCTGTGTTAATGTTTTACAACACTGGGTTTAAAATAAAAACCTAACACTTGTGGGGGGTTACTGCAAGGCTCACCAAAACTGATAAAGAATGTCAAACTTGGCCAGGCTTTAACACCTGGTGTGTTTAAGGGTATATAGTTCTAGGTAATTTTTTGTTTTTAAGCAAAATACCAGAATATAGTTCTCCAAGTGAGCGTTAATGTCTGGAAAGTATCAAAATGTCCTCAGAAGCTTCTTTACATTCCCAGGGATGTTGCTGTTGTTCACGTTCCTTGATCCCCTCCTTGGGAGTTGCCATCTGGCTCTAGAGTTCATTCTTTTGTATATATTCAAGGGTATCAGAGGTTTGCCCTTTAAGGATGAAGACTGAAAAAAAAAAAACAAAACCCCACATTTTAAAAAAAGATTTATTTACTTGAGAGAGAAGGAGAGCAAGTGAGAGCATGAGCAGGGGGAGGGGCAGAGGAGAGAAATCCTCAAGCAGACTCCCTGCTGAGCACGGAGCCCCATGCTGGGCTTGATCTCAGGACCTGGAGATCATGATCTGAGCCAAAATCAAGGGCCGGACGCTCAACCGACTGAGCCACCCAGGTGCCCCACATTGTTTTTAATAGCTAAACATCTGTGGGAATTGCTTTATGAAGGTGGACAAAATAGGCCCGGTGATGCTAGTATGCTCAGAAACAAGGGGTGGTCATTGGAAATAGGCAAGGAAAAGAAAGGGCAGCCTGTGTCGTAGGGGCAAGTTCAGCTGACATCACTTTCTTCCCCATGGAAGGGCCCAAGGGGCTGTGGGTCCCCAGGATAACTGGGCTGGGCTGCAGTGACTGGGTGGCTAGAGTCCCACACTAGGAAGGATGACCTCTTTTCTCAGACTACATACTCAGCAGTCTCTTTGGCTGCTCCTCTAGCCTGGCTTCTCTAATAAGACAAAAGACCTCAAGACCCGATACCATGTTCTTTATTCATACTGAACACTTCTCGACATTCCAGTATGTATGGCCCTGAACACTTGCTTTAAGATGAGCACATCATATTAGGCTAGATTAGATAAGTGAAGTGTCCAAATGTACATTAAATAGGAAAGTCAAGATGCAAGAAGATCGAGAAACATCTATAGACAGCAAAATGACATCCCTGCCCTCTCTATCTACTTTAGGGTCACCAAAAGTCACATTTCATTTACAAACAATGTACTCTATAGCCATGACAGTAGAGTTCAAAGTGGGCATCAAAATAGCACCAATTAACATCATCTAAGATAGATATAAAATGAACTTGACCTCGTAAGCCAAAGATTGAAATGACTCATGATCAAGAGGCTGCTCACCAAGCCTTCTGTGTGACCTGAGATCCTAGCCTTTCCTGGCTTCTTTGCAGCTGTTCCAGATGCCTCTCCTCCAGCACCCACCCCCCGTGCTTCCCAGGCCCCTCTCTTTCAGTGATTGACCTGCCTCCTCTCCATTAAAAGAAAGGTCCTTGGGATCTACTTCTTTGAATGCACCATCAAACCAAGTTTTTGTTTGTTTTTGTTTGTTTGTTTGTTTTGTCTATCAATTAATTGTCTGCCTTCTTCCCAACATTTTCCCATTTGGGGACAATACTTCCTCAAGCCCATAATATATTTGTCCTTACATTCAGTGAAAAGGACCTTCCTGCCTTATTCAGAGGCTTGCCTTTAAAACATCCTCCTAAAGGGTCGCTGCAGGATGAAAACATTCCACACTTTGCAGACTGCCCTGATTGATCTGTCCTTATTATCTTCTCAGCCTTGCCCAGCTAATGCTCCTCTAGCCTATTTATGGTGACAGAAACATATCTATCTGTTCCTATGTTGTCTGTATCAGAATGTCCCAGCCTGTGAGGATGGGTTTTAGCATGCCAGCATTTCTCCCAGCCTTTAGGGCAGCTGGGCAGGGTCTGGACAGCGTGAGCCCTCCAGGTGCAGCTTCCTCCTTCTACCCCGGTGTGCCGCACAAACATCCTATTCTATATGAGCCATGACATTAAAGAGATCAGGAAGCACTGGGATGTGCATTCCAACTGCTCTGTCATTTTCACTGGCCGTGGTTCTTCTTACTGGAGAGGACATCTGCCTTCAGCCACCCCAGCAAGGACCTCTGTTGAAATGTCCTCCCCAAACCATTCTTGCTGTCGTTGATAATGATAAGGAACTCTTTTTTTCTTTAGTTGATTCATTGGGAGGGCCTTATTCTTACTGTTGCCATTTTTCCTAAGACTGAGAGGAACCACATAGTTTCTTTTCCTTTGTTTGCACCAGAGTAGTAGCCTCTATAGGCTAGATGGTTATGAGAGGCTCCGATTACCCATATACTTTGAACTAGTGTGTGCGTGTGTGTATGTGTGTGTGTGTGTAAATTTCAACATACTGGGAGGCAGTATAGGTTGCTGATGAAGAATATGCATCTGGCTTCAAATCCTGGTTCGTGATTACTTACTAGTGGTGTGACTGTGAGCCACTCAATCTCCTTGTGCCCCAGTGACTTCATCTGTAAAACAGGATTAACAGTAGTGCCTATTTCATAGACTCGTTCTGAGGAATAAAATCAGTTAATACATATAAGGCACCTAGAAGGTAGCCTACGTGTTTGCCTAGTATACGGATTGGCAAACTAAACTTGCCTGCAGGCCAGATCTGGCCTACCACCTGTTTTTGTAAATAAAGTTTTACAGGAACACAGATATGCCTAGTCATTTACATATCACAGGACTGCTTTCTCCTCACCGTGACAGAGTTGAGTCTTAGAGGAGCAGCCCTAAGCCCGCAAAGCTGAAAACATTTGCTGTCTGTCCCTTTACAAAAAAAAAATTGCTGACCCTGCCTAGAATATTGTCTAGTAAGTCCTCAATAAAAATGATCCATCATTAACACCAATTTTTAGTAAATCTTAGTTTTTCTTTATTGGTTTTCCAAGATCAACTTTTTTGGTTTTTTCCTCAAGATCAAGTTCTAGATCCCCAAGTTTGTTGATTTTTTTTTCTGACTTTTTTTCTTTTTAGTAAAAGAAACGCTTTCTGACTTTTTTCTTTTTAGTAAATTTGTAAAAGAAAAGGGACTGTTAAAAATATTAAGTTAGTGGGTGCCTGGGTGGCTCAGTTGGTTGGGCGACTGCCTTCGGCTCAGGTCATGATCCTGGAGTCCCGGGATCGAGTCCCGCATCGGGCTCCCTGCTTGGCGGGGAGTCTGCTTCTCCCTCTGACCCTCCCCCCTCTCATGCTCTCTCTCTCAAATAAATAAATAAAATCTTAAAAAAAAAAAAAAATATTAAGTTAGTAATAGCATAAGTGTTACAAAAATAATAAAAAATCATAAAATTGGTATGTGAATGACCAAAGTTTATGAAACAGTTTTTCTAAAGTTATTGGATCTTATTTTGCTAGGTTACGTGCTCTTGTATTTTTGCTGCTATACTTAAAAAAAACAAAAACCAAAAAAAAAAAAAACAAACAAAAACCAAAACCAAAAACAAAAACAAAAAAACTTTTATTTTAGGACAGTTTTAGATTTATAGAAAAATTTTGAAAATAGTACAGAGAATTCCCACAGACCCCATATACCCACTTTCCCTTATTATTAACATCTTATGTGAGTAGGGTATGCTTGTCACAATTAATGAACCAATACTGATACATTATTTTTTTTTAAGATTTTATTTAAGAGAAAGAGCACGAGCGGGAGGAGGGGCAGAGGGAGCAGGACAAGCAGACTCCCCCTGAGCAGGGAGCCCTGATGTTGGGCTCGATCCCAGGACCCTGAGATAATGACCTGAGCCAAAGTCAGATGCTTAGCAGAGTGAGCCACCCAGGCGCCCCCTGATACATTATTATTAACCAAAGTCCATGCTTTATTCACATTTCTTCAGTTTTTCTCGAATGTCCTTTTTCTGTTCCAGAGTTCCATCCAGGATTCCACAATGCATTTAGTCATTGTGTTTCCTTAGGCCACTCTTGACTATGACAGTTTCTCAGACATGTTTTAGATGACCTTGACAGTTTTGAATACTGGTCAGGTGTTTTGTAGACTATCCCTCAATTGGGATTTGTCTGCTGTTTTTCTTACAATGCTCCTGGGGTTGTGGGTTCTGGGAGGAAGACCACAGAGGTAAAGTGCCCTTCACACCACATCATCTCAAGGGTACACATTCTCAGTGTGACTTATTACCGCCTCGTAAACTTCTCTAATCCTCCGTTTGGAGACTCTGAAGCTTGGAAAAGGGTGAGTGTAGATTTTTGTTTTATACTCTAGTCTTACTGAAATCTAGCTTAATCATTTCCGTGATTCTTGGTCAAAACTGCCTCTTCCTAGATCAAAGCTTTTTCTTATGCCCTGCTTTATGAAGAAGCTCATTCAATTCAATTTTCAAATGTCTATGCCAGAACCCCATGCTGGCCTCCCAGGTGCTTAGGACTGTCAGGGGAAGACAAGTGGCTTTTCATTCTGGAAAAGAAAATCCCTCACTTCCCTCAGTGCCATCTGTACTGTTTCCTCACAATGGAGGCAAAGTCATCTGAATTGAATGTGGATCCCTAACCTAAGAGTAGTAGCAGTGGTTAGCTGAAAGCCTTGGGGTCCTACTCAGTCTGCCACTGCTCTTCTGGTACTAGGGGCTCAGGGGGGCACTGACCACCCACATATCCCTTGTGAATATGACTGCTCTGTTGTAAAATTTAAGTATTCGATCCCAGTCCCAAATTTGCTAACTGCTCATAGGAATACTCCCCTTCTCAAGCACAGGCACCTGCTCCTGGCCATGGGCCTTCATACCCTGCACCCTTACTGAGTCAAGCATAGGCACCATGGCTGAGCTAGGAGAACAGCCAGCTCACATTGGTGTGGCCACTTTCTTGCAGCTCTTAGAGTGCAAGGTAGAACACGTATTAACCTTAAGTTCAGAGGAGAAATCAGAAGACTTCTTTTTCTGGACCTCGCTGAGGAGGAGGCTTAGCAAACCCAGCCAGTTCTGTGAAATGAAGGAAGCTTGAGAAAAATCTCCCTCTCCAGTGTGGAGCTCTCTTAGACCAGCCCGGGCCCTTGATCCATTGCTAAGTCAGCATACTCACCTCATCTCTAGTGCTGACTATGACATGCGAGCCTGAGGATGGAGACCATACCCAATGTCTGAGGATGAGCAGCAGTGCCTGTGGAAAGTGAGGGACACCACACCCAACAGTTCTGTGTGTTCATCATCCACTTTTGTCTTTCCTAGCTAGCTCCTTCCTGCCTGGGTGACCCCAGAGTACGGCCGTGGACACCCTAACCACATGGGGATCTTGTCCAAATACAGATTTTGGTTCAGTGGGATCTGGGGTGGGACCTGAGAGTCAACAAATACATAAACAAGCAAAAAAATAACTCCTGGGTGCTGCTGATGCTGCAGGTTCTGGGCCCACAATGTGCGTGAAAGCACCTAAATCTTCCAGGTGGAATCAGACTTCGCTGGGCTTGACTCTGAGTTCTGCCACTCACGAGCAGTGCACTGCTCCTAGCTGAAGGTTCATGATCTGTCTGTGCCAGAATTTCCTCCGCTGTGTAATGGGGATAATAACGGACTACCTTGTAGAGTTTTTAGGAAGATTGCATGAGAAAATCCACAAAAAACATGAGGCAAAATGCCCTAATAAACATTAGCCACTGTTGTTCTTCCTAGAGAAGCAGGGTGGGTGAGATCTGTTGAGGTTGGTCAAGTGTCATAACGTGGGCATGTCAGAGACATGATCTTCACTTTCTCTCTCCTTCCTTGTTCATGGAGATGCCCTTGATTTTGCAGACTAGATATCTGCCCAAATGCTGGATCCCCATGTGCCAGTAATGAGCATCAGTCAATGAAACTGTCTTTTCTTCGTGGTGAATACTGTTGATAATTTCAAAAGTGATGTTTTATGCAACAGCTTCTTTGAAATAAGAGTTTCTCTTCTAGGAATCAAAAAAAAAAAAAAAACCCAAAGGAAATGAAATTGGAACAATATTTCTGCAGGAGGTGATAATTTGTCATTACTTGGCTCTGTAGCTCTTAAATATCAGCCTTTCCCCTCTACAGGCCCTACATCTCCACGTGGGCTCGTCAAGTGTTCCAGAAGTGTCTCTCCAACGTCATGTTCTTGTTTCTCTATAGTTAAACCTCAACATTAGGTTTACCTTCAAATTTGATCGAATATACTCTGAGATGGTCAAAACTAATTTTAGATATGTCAACACAGAAAGTTCTGTTAAAAAGAGGGCTTGTCCGATTTTTATTTACCCTCTTTAGGACTTTTTGGCCATGGTTTCCTACTTCAGTTACATGGGGTTTTGCTTAAGTTCACCTCTCTTCAAAATGAATGCCCTGTTAACATCTGCCGAGTGACAGAACGCACCCTTGAGGATGAGCACACGAGGAGAGTGTTTGTAGACACTTTGGTGGAGAGAAAAGGGCAAAAACATCTAGAGCAGCACCACTGGTAGCTCCACAGATATTTGTTGGATAAATGATATGATGAAATTGAGGACAAAGCAAAATAAGAAAAGGAGAAGATGAGTAGACTCTTCCCTGGGGGCTGACACCTGCTGCATCTTGGTTCCCAAAGCTCCAAAGCTAAAGAACCTAGAAATGGTGGCAGCAAGGGAGAATACCAGGGTGCCCCTTTCTCACCGATTCTCTAGAAAACCCAGCAAACAGGCCAGTGGGGTCTTTGGGATGCCTAATATGTCGCAGCCATGGGATAGGAAATACTGACCTCAAGTTTTTCTCCTTGCTGGGTAGGAAACTTTTCATTTCTGATTAGGGTGATGAACTGAGTTGAAAAGCTTCCATCATAATGTGAATTTCAGGTATGTTAGCTCTCGTTCTAATCCCTTCTGTAATGTTGCCTAGTATTTCATTTCTTTGTGTGCCTATCACAACGGTGCTTACAACAAGGATTCTGTTAGTTCAGCTGTCAAAATAAATTTGTGCATGGATCAGCTTACAACAGAACCAAGAGAGATAATGAGCACCAAAGGATTAGGCCCAGAGCAGTGTATGATTTGATAAAATGTAGGGTTCAGAAAACAGACACATCTTTAAACAACTTTGGATGTGGAAACAATGCATCCCTCCACAATATTTATTACATAATAATACAGATTAGGCATAGAATGTCTCCTGTGTGTGGACAGAAGATCTCACTGCTTTTCAAGTTAGCGTGCTAGAAGAAATGATGTAATACCTTCTTCTGCCTCAAGGAGGAATGTCTGGGATTCACAAAACCACGTGGGCAGAGCAGGTTGAGATTGTTGGGTGAGAGGGAAGGCATAGGTACCACGTTGTACTTAATGAGGGAAGTAGCTAGTATTTGAATCTCCCTGCAGACAGTAAACTGGAGGATACCAGGGACCAGATCTTCCTGCTCAACTGCTGTGAGCTCTGCTCAGCTCAGAAGCGGCATCTAGTAGGCACTTGAAGACTTGAAATCGGTGAATAAGTGAAGTCAAAGCCAACAAACAGAATGAAAGATATTTATTTATATAAAAGCTCAGTGGGCTTCATTAATGCCCGTCAGGTCATGCCTGATATTGTGAGTACTATCCCATTATTGATCAATAATCATGTTTTAAAACTTACCGTGGTAACAAAATGATTTTGTAGGTCAACGTTGACAACTTTCTAGTGTTTAGGGGACTGTTTATCCAAGCTCCTTAATGTTGCAGTTCATTTTTTCTGTTGCTAAGTTAGCTATAATTTATTGGCAGGGCCACCAGGAGGCCATAAAGGACCTTGGTGAAATTGGAGAAAGGTGCCCTCCCCAGCCCTGACACACGCAGCCTTGCAGGTGCACAAAGGCTGGAGTTCAGTCCTCCCTCGGCCCTCGACAGGACACCCTGTGTAGTGGGAAATCTGCTCCCGCAGGGCTGTTGCTGCCCCCAGCTTACCGAGCAGGTACCGAGCACCTGCGCACGTCACACACCGTGTTGGGGACCTACGCACATTATCACCTCAGTCAGTTCTCTGAAGAGGCCTGAAAGGCAACTGTCATATCCCCATTTTGCAGATAAGGAAACTGAGGTCTAGAGGGGTTAGGACTTGTCCAGATCGCACCATCGAATAAATGGTGGAATCAGGATTCACATCCAATGTCAGAACAGTCTGGAATGCACTGGTCCAGCTGAAGAGGAGGGGGGTTAAACAAATCCAGAAATTGTAGTTGCCTCAGCAGCTGGGGATAAAAATCTTCTGAAGGATAGAAATCTAGTGCCTGAAGGGAAGTGTTTGTGGTGACTGAAGACTTCAGTGGTTTGAAACTACCATTTGTTTTCAAACTTTTCATTTATTTACTCCGATCTCTCTTTATTTCTGAATAAGCTTAGAGAAGGGTACCGGTATCGGAATGAATGATTGCTTTATTTTTCTGTTTGTCCACCATCATCTCTTTCCTGCTAGTGCCATCAAGTGAGGTCTAATGCCAGTGATGGCTAACGTGATTGTCACTTGGTGGTGCCAGTCACTGAGCTAGTGCTTTCCACTAGCAAGATGACACATGGAATCCTCACAGCAACTCTGCTAAGACTGTTCCCGCTTTACAGGGAAACTGAGGCGCAAAGAGCCGTCATCAGGCTAGTGAGTGCAGGAATCGGGACTCAGATGCACTATATTATGGGTGTTGTTTTCAAGGTCATATGATCTCTGTCCTCTCTTTTAGAACAGATTACCCTCTTCTTTCACATAAGAGAAAGAACTTTTGGCTATTAGTTAAGAACTATGACCTCCAAAATACAGTCATTTCAAAATTCAAGCAGAACACAGTTAATCAATATAAATACATTGATACGGCCTTTCTTTACTCAATTGTACACAGGGCTTTCTTGAATGTTAAATCTACTTTTTTTTTTAGAAGATTTTATTTATTTATTTATTTATTTATTTATTTATTTATTTATTTATTTAGATAAATCTCAGAGATACCCTGAGAGCATTCTCTCTCTCTCTCTCTCTCCTTTATTTTTGGTGATCATTTTATTGATTTCCTTTTTCCTCTAAGTTATTAAATTCCAGCTAGTTAACATACAGTGCAATATTAGTTTAAGGTGTGGAATTCAGTGATTCATCACTTACATACAACACTCATGCTCATCCCAACAAGTGCCCTCCTCAATACCCATCACCTGTTTAACCCATCCCCCCCCCATCCCCTCCAGTAATCATCAGTTTATTCTCTATAGTTAATATTTGGTGATCATTTTTAAGATGTTTTATCTCCTTTGGGCTACCTTAGGAAAATATTAGAGACCGTGACATTCTTCTGTAATATTTCCCAGTTTGGTTGACAATTTTCAGGTTGTATTATAAGAATATTATATGTTGAGGACATTTGCCTACTTCAAGTTTATCCGTAAGATTAGGAAAAGTACCTAAGAATGAAAACTGACACTGTGATCACAGTCATGAATGTTCTAGTTATGTGGCAAAAATTGATAGATCACTTGTGACACTCTTTGTGGATAAATAACTTTTCACAAAGCTTTTGGTTTTGGAGAAAAAACCTTGACTTAGTCCGATAGCATAATATGTCTTTCAAAATATAAAATTGAGTGACTTTGTTTTGGGTGTGTTGTCACATCCCCCACCGCTTTCTGCTCTAGAAGAGTGATGCCTTTGGAATGTACCCACAGCTGCCACAGCTGGATGAAAGGCATTCATCTCATTTAGCTGACAGTACTAATCACTGTAATAACTATTTTACCAGCAAATATAATTTGGCAGACATCTGTGATTAGTATATTAACACATTTCCTTGTTAATTCCCTAAGGCGACCATCACCAAAACATCCCTTGTGTGATCTAAATGAATTGTCATAATGAGTTTCTTTATAGGCCTGAGAAATCACATTTGTTAAGTTGCCTAAAGTGCTACTAATCTGAAAACTTCATTCATGATGAGGCCTGAGGGAGAGCCAAAAGATAGCCCTCCTCCCTGTTCTGACATATGACCCCCAGGGCCCACCGCCAGAGCCCAGAATCTCCCCCAGTCCTTCCCAAACTGCGCTCCAAGCCTCAGCTTGAATTACTCTCCACCCAGGGCTTCAAACCCAATACCCAGAGGCAGGGTGGGAAATGATTTGATGTGAACAAATGTATTAAAAAGAGAAACAGGGGCGCCTAGGTGGCTCAGTCGGTTAAGTGTCTGCCTTTGGCTCAGGTCATGATCCCAGGGTCCTGGGATCGAGCCCCACGTTGGGCTCCCTGCTCAGCGGGGAATCTGCTTCTCCCTCTGACCCAACCCTCTCATGCTCTCTCTCACTCACTCTCTCTCAAATAAATAAATAAAGTCTTTAAATAAATAGAAGCAGTTGGAAGTGTATTAATGATAATACACAAACTAAGGAAGTGAAGAACTATGACAATTATTAACTCAGGGAGAAACGAAAAATAATTTACACAAAGTAATAGCTTACTGTTTGGCTCAGTTCCTCCTAGCAGACATATTCGTTCGTTCTAGGGATATGTACCTGGATATTGATTTATCCAAATTACAACACAATTCCTATTTTCAATGATTGCTAATATACAATTGCTGAATTGAAAGGAAATGTGAATGTGTAAAGGGAAAGGGTGGAGGGTGACAGAGGTGGGAGAAGAAGGAGCCCAAGTCTTTATTTTTCATAGCGGGAGTGAACTGAAATGCCCCAACTAAGAGAGCATGAGGTAACAATTTGCTTAGAGATACAGAAGAAAAATATCCCTCCAAAACAGCTAAATGAATTAAGATCCTTGCCCCTAGGGAAGGGGAGATGGGTGAGGAGATCCGAGTATTAGTTGAGCATCTTACATCTGATAAGCAAGATGTATATACACATATATAACTGGGGTGGGGGTAACTTAGGGAAAAGGAATTAAAAAAAAAAAAACGAAAAGAGAAACAATCTTCAGGGACAAAAGGATAGAAGTATATCACCTAGAGGCCCATTTTAACATGTTGGTTTATTTTCTTCCAGTTATTTTCACCCTCTGTTTGTGATTGTCTTTCTCTTCCTCCCTCTTTCCCTTCCAGTGATCAACATTGCTGTAATCATAAAATGGAGACTGACTTACTGAGCACTTAGCTGCACGGCAGACCTTGTGCCAATACTCATTTTATATGCATCATTTCATTCGATTAACCCAACTGTGCGTGCTGATATTTTAACTTCTATCATAATTATGTTCTTATATTAGCACATGGTCTTCATAATCATCTTTTTTCATGGTACGAGAATATTCTATCCAGCAGAACATGTATCTTTTCCCCAAATTATTAGACTTTAGTTTGCCAGCTCTTCCTATTATAAAGAATACTGAGATGATATACTTTGCCCTAAAGCTTTTTCCTGACATGTATGCTTAAAGAGTAGAATCATGTTGCTCAGTGGCTTGTCTTAAACTGTCTAGGGCACTCTCATGTTCACTGTCTAATGTGATGCCTCGTGCAGCTCGGAGACAGGTAGCAGAGAGAGCGGCACTGTCGTTTTACAGACGAGATACTTAGGAGCTAAGTCTTCAAGGTCACACAGCTGGAGGAAGAGTCAGAATTAAAATGCATGGTTCCCAACTCTTTCTTGATTTCTGCCCCCTGCCCTCCCGCCCCCCGCCCCAGTGAAATGAAACCCAGGCTGAGCTCTCCCTGTACTTTCCTTCCCACACATGTTGGTCTTCACCTAGTGGAGCTTCTCTGCCATGGGGGACTGTCATTTCACCGAGGGCCATTTCTGCTTCAGGAAAAAGTAAGACTTCTCTAGCAGCCCAAAACCACACTTCTTCTGAAATCTTCCACTGGGGCTAAGGAGGAGAAAGGGCAAGAAGGGGAAATAATAGGAGAAACCAAAGTGCAATGTACTTACTTAGAAAATGGGGCAGGAACTGTGAGAAGGTGTCTGAGGAGCAAACAAGAAAATACTGTGGTTTGGGGAGGACCTTAACGCTTAAGATAAGGTGTTTGAGCTGAAGACACTACAGAAGTATGACTTAGGGTGTCTTAGGGTCATGGTACGGCCTTTCTTTACTCAATTGTACACAGGGCTTTCTTGAATGTTAAATCTACTTTTTTTTTTAGAAGATTTTATTTATTTATTTATTTATTTATTTATTTATTTATTTATTTATTTATGGGGGGACAGAGGGAGAGGGTGAGACAGAGAATGTCAAGCAGACTCCACACTGAGCACGGAGCCCGACATGGGGTTCTATCCCACAATCCAAGACCATAATATGAGCCGAACCCAAGAGTTGGATGCTTAACCGACTGAGCCACCCAGGCGTGCCTAAATCTATTTCTTGATGGTGATATTCTTTCTCAGGCTAGAAACTAACCAATAATTTGATTTTTTTTCTTTCTCTTTTTCAAATGAATGATCAACAAGTAACTTTAAATATGTACTTTTTTCAACCATAGAAGAAAGTGAGTCCTGCTTTGCCCAACCCAAACCACGTACACTAGGAAAAGGATCTACTCTTTATGGCAAGGTACAAAAGGAAAGTCCTTCCCCCCTCGAGAAGCTCAAGATTTCAGCAGTGTCTACAGCTAATGGTGTTAAATCCCTCCATGAACAGCCCCCAGCAAACGATGCTGCAGATCCACCAGGATCCACAGAGGAGACTCAGCCTATAGACAGACCTGAGGAGTCTGGGCCGCCTCAGCCAGGTGGTGAAGATGATGCTCCAGGTACAGGAGAAAAGAAGAAAGACATGGGAGCAATGACAGAGGCTCAGCATTTAAAAGGAAATGCTGAGACTGAATCTGTAGAAACAGACACCAAGTACCAGCCTTTGAGGACCACAGGAGAGAGGGACTCTCCGGGAGCAGTGGACGGTAGTGAGAATCCACAAACTGCCAGAGAGATGAAACCTCTAGGAACAGCTGAGAAAATCCCTCCTCTGGAAGCAGCTAGAAAGCCACAACCTCAAGAAGCCATGGGAAAGGGTGAACAGACCCAACTCCCAGAAACAGTTCCCAAGGAGAATGAATCTCCAGAAGTATTGGAAGGAAGTCAGTTTGTGGAAACAGCTGAAGAGTGGCAACTTCAAGAAACATTGGGAGAAGATGAGGAGTCCCAACCTCTCGAAACCATTCCCAAAGAGAATGAAACACTGGAAGTATTGGAAGGAAGTCAGTTTGTGGGAACAGCTGTAAACAATTATTTGCTCCATAAAACTCCTGAAGGTCCCGGAAGCATGGAGCAGATTCAACCTGAAGGAATAATAGTTGGAAGCATGGAGCATCCAGCAGGAATTCTAGAAATAGGAGCAAATACCGAAATGGTCAGGAAAAATCACACTAATGAAGAGGACCAACACATTGAAGGTAAAAGTTATGCTGGTTGTTTAGATGTGCTGCATAAGAAATCATCCCTGGGGATCTCTATTTCAGGTGGTTGGACTTCATTTGACCCAAACCAAAAAGGCTTCCATACCTGGAAAACAGGCTTTTGGCTTGGCTTTCCAGAAGAAATTTTCTACACTTGATCTTAGCCAAATGGCTGAGAAGCAATCCAGCAAAAATTTTCTAAAGCATAGTCTGTGTCCAAAATTTTTAACCTGGAGTTGTCATTGTTGAATACAATTGGTTGTTGAAGGCAACGTGTTAAAAGTTCTGAATTTTTCCAAGTTCACTTTTCATCAGGCCCCATGTATGGTATGAGGATCCAAAGTAGAGATGAATAGGTGGCTAATGGAGGAACTCACCTTCTAATGAAAGAATACCCAGCTAAGGGATCTTACAGGGCAATTTTCATCTTCGCCAATGTATCCTAGGAAAAAAATTACTGTCGGTCTGCTTCTGTCCTCCCACTGGCTTCTTGTCTCTATAAGAAGACTTAGAGACAATGTATTACTTTTTGGCCTATGTGTTTTTAAAATGTACTTTACCAGCATAAAAAATGGTATCTATACTGTTCTTTATTGGAGTTATAATTTAAAAAAATAACATTTCTTCTGGGGCATGATTTACATTTTGGTAAATTTTAGCTTCATACTATAGTAAATTAAGTCAAGCATTCATCCATCTGTTTAATTCATTTATGACCACAGCAGTTTTTGAATGCCAATCATACGCCAAGTGCGGGGGGCGGCGGGGGAGGGGGTGTAGGAATAAGAGATAGGCCCTGTTCTCCAGGGGCTCACAGTCTGGTGGGAAGAAGCCAGAATTTAAACAAATTACCACAATCTATTGAGGTAAGTGTTTTAATGAAGGTGTATAAAAGTGCTCCAGGAATAACAAGGGAGGAGCAAGTAAAAGCATGTATTTGTTGCACTAGGTTGGCAAACTCAAGTCGTTAGGGCCTAGAATAATGATAGTGAGTCAAGTGAAGGGCACATGTTATGTCTTGGGGAGTCCTGGGGACTGTAGTGAACAGGTACACCATCCTATCAAAAGAGGCAGCTGCTTCTTGGCTCCGTCCATGAACATGGGGGCCAATGTTGCCCATACTGACTTCTTAGGGAGACAGATTTGTGTCTACAACGTCCAAACTTTTATTTATTTATTTTTTCAGATTTTTAAATGTTTGCAGTCTTTAAATGTTTAATGGTTGTTTTCTTTAAACACCATCATGGCCCAACAAAATAGGTTTCTGGGCATGCCTAGACCACCTTTTCATTTAAATATAAACGGAACTTTGTATTTATAATATGTTCTGCTCTCATTTCTTGGGTAATTCTGCAGCCTGATTTTATGTAGGGGGATGCCAAGATAGGAGATGTTAAGTGACATCGGCCATTCAGAGGATCTGAGAGAATCAGGGCAATTGCCTTTCTTGACCCCACCAGAGAAACTTACTAATTAGACGTAGAGAGCAGGAACTGCCCCATTGGAAACCAGCTGTCGGGTACTTTATTGTTAATGCCAAATGAGCATCTCCTAATGTCTCCTTTGCTTACTTTTCCAGGTGAGACAGGAGAAAAGGTTGAAGCAGAGATGGAGAATGACAAAGGAAGTGAAGGGCCTGGAACAAAAGAAGAAGAAACAGGGGAAGCTGTGGATCTTTCAGCGGCCACATAGATTGGCATGGTTGTAGAAGGATGAATGGACATTGTGTTGTAACAGAGAAAAATAGAGTGAAGTGTGTGGGTACAGATCTTATCTTTCAGTGTCTACGTATTTTATACGAAGAGTGTGGTTATCATGTTCTTGATTACATTGTTCCATAAAACCACTAAGCTATAAACAGTTTTCTTAGGCACTTAGAATAGTAATACATTTGGGGCGCCTGGGTGGCTCAGTCGTTAAGCGTCTGCCTTCGGCTCAGGTCATGATCCCAGGGTCCTGGGATCGAGCCCCACATCGGGCTCTCTGCTCTGCGGGAAGCCTGCTTCTCCCTCTCCCACTCCCCCTGCTGGTGTTCCTGCTCTCACTATGTCTCTCTCTGTCAAATAAATAAATAAAATCTTTAAAAAAAAAAAAAAGAATAGTAATACATTCAAGCTTACAGCTGCCACAGCCAATAACAAGTAGGGTATAGGATCCCCGGAGGGTGAGGGTGTTTTCTTCATTGTGGTAATAGGTCTATTCAGTTTAGAAAATGAGACCCTAAAAAGAAGGTATAAACCTTAGATATAGGTGGTTGGAGAAAAGAGTTAGCACATTTTAGGGAGCTCATGATGGTAAGGTTACACAGTTATAATTACAATGGGATAAGAATGAACAACAGTGTCAGGGCAAACTATACCTAGTGTTTCTTTCCTGTTGCGGAATTTAAAGCTGGTAGGAACCTTGGAAAGTGTGTCCATCTAGTTACTTTCTCACCTTGAATCTGTCTACTGCCGTAGACTCTTATTTATCATGATGTGTTAAATGTGTTAACAAAATCCTTGTCAAAGGAATGCAATCTCTGGTGCTACTGCAAGATCAGGCGTTTCTATACTGAAAGGCTATACATTTTCCCTGTGCCATTTTGAATTAGCTGTTGATTTTGCACTTACGTGATGGGTTTCAATTGGTGTTATCCTTTTGACTGACATTAAACATATTTTAAATAAATTGACTTTTGGGGCGCCTGGGTGGCTCAGTCGTTAAGCCTCTGCTTTCAGCTCAGGTCATGAGCTCAGGGTCCTGGGATCGAGCCCCACATCGGGCTCCCTGCTCAGCAGGAAGCCTGCTTCTCCCTCTCCCACTTCCCCTACTTGTGTTCCTGCTCTCGCTGTGTCTCTCTCTCTCAAATAAATAAATAAAATCTTTTAAAAAAAATAAATTGACTTTTAAATGTATTTCAGAGGCAACAAACAATAAGAATTAAAACCTAGATTAGTGAGGCGCCTGGGTGGCTCAGTCGGTTCAGTGTCCTACTCTTGATTTTGGCTCAGGTCATGATCTCAGGATTGTAAGATTGAGCCCTGCTTGGGGCTCTAGATGCTGAGCTTAGAGTCTGCTTAAGAGTCTCTCTCTCTCCCTCTCCCCCTGCCCCTCCCCACCCCACCCCTGCACGTGCTCTGTGCATGCTCTCTCTCTCTAAAAACAAACAAAACACCTAGATTAGTTGCCTATGTGAAGTTTATTCCTTGGGTCCTGTTTTTGGTTTTGTTGTTTGTTTTTAATTTACTGTGGTTTAATGTTAGGCTCTAGAAGCAGAAAGAAGCTAAGAAATTAGAATTTAAAAACCATTTATAATATTTCATTAATGTTAAAATGATGCACCACTGAAAGTTACTTTTTAAAAATTCTTCCAAAATTGCCAAGGATTTTGGTGCACAGTTTGGTGAAACTGTGCGTTCTGTTTCGAAGTGCTCACTCTGAGCAGAGATAATCAGTTTTGCCCCAGATTCAAAACACAGAAGTTGGACAAAAGCCTTGAGCTGTTTGTAATGAATTAATAGAGAAACTATCATTGGGGGTGGATTCTCTCATCCTGGGATGCTATATATAGTCCCAGGATTGTAGCCCCGTTTGTGTTCTACTAAGATCATTTCAGTGTTTTCTACAAATAAGTGGGAGGGAAATGGTGAACAAATGATTTGCCAGCTAGCAACCCCAGTAGGGAGTGAATGTTTGCATTTACCAACAGAGGGTGCCAGTTGGAAAGCGAAGAAACTCACAGTCTGACTCCGGAACTCTTGGCCAGAAGTGCCGTGTAGCCAGTCCCCCGGGGGACCCACAGGACAGGAGTATGTGGTCAACCTGTGATCTTGCTGCCTTTTCCATTTTAATTTTGGAGCAAGAACTCCTAACCTAGCTTGGAGCAGTCAAAACACCCATATCCCTCTTAAATGCTTTGTTCCACACTTGGCCTTGAATTAAGAATAAGAATGGCTTTAAAAGGAAATGTTTTTTCCACATTTAACTAATCCAAGAGCATTGGATAGTCATGGCCAAATAACCTTGATAGGGTTTGTATCTGTGCTCTTTAGGAAACTACAAAAGCTTATTAGAGCACCTAACATTACAAACATCTCATTTTTATAAAGATGATTTGGTGACCAGTTGTGAATTGTTTCACAAATGCCAGCAATGTGGACATCATAAAGCCATTCATTAGCTCACCCACATTTGTAAGGTAAAGGGAGAATGATCCTCTTCTTTTTCTCTCCCCACACCAAATAGCCAGGCATGGCTGTGTCTGAAAAGTCGAAAGCATTTGCTCACAAGATATCATTTAATCTAAAACTCTGTCAGCTCCTCTCTTCCTCAGAGTTTATAAAGTTAATGAGCATTTGGTTATACTCGCAAGGTTTTAATTACAGAAACAGAATCAGTGTAATCCTAGAGAGCATCTCACAGGGATGGGATTTCTCTTTTCAGTTGTTACTATCAACAAAAGCTAGGGAACTCCCTGGGATTACTAATCCATGTAGAATCAAATTGGAGGCCATTAGCTTTATTTCAGTAATACCACTCAGCAAATTTATTAGGCAGTATATGAGCTATTGTAACTTCACACCTGTATCATTATTTCTGTGGCTAATGAAAGAAGTCTCCAGACATCAAAGGCAGGCTTTAATGCCTTTTGAAGGTAGAAGAAGGGTACCCCTTCAGTTTAATAATGTGCTATATCAACATGACTAAACATGCTCTTTCTACCCACTACTGGGGAGAGAGATCAGCAAGCCTCACCAGTTTCCACAAAAAGAGTTCTGAGAAACCAGTTAGCGATACTAATTTTTTTAAAATTGAAGTATAGTTGACAAACATAGGGATGTTAACTTTGGTTTGAAATCTGCCTCATTTTTTCTTCTTGTAGAATATAGGTGGTTCTCAAAATTTTCTTAATAAAAGTAACTAGCAAAATATCATTCGTGCTATTATATAAATTTATGAAAAAAGTAATGCATATTATATTGAGTTGATTTATGCAACCCTGATTCCAAACACTTAAAAAGAATTATTCAAGGACAAGAACAGACACTTTCTATGGCAGCTGAACTGTTGGAGAGGGGCTTTGGGTTGGGAGGAGTTTCAGCCCCAGTGCCAAGTAAGAAGTCACAAGGCCCACAAGGTGACAAGTCACAAGGTGACTTTTCTGACCTTCACCACACTCCCAACAGTTCAGTGAGGGGACATACTAACAATTTATTTAAACTATAGATAGTAGGTATTTAGTGGATCAGTACAGACGTGCTTCATGTGTTCTGGATATTCAAGTTTTGTTAAAAAAGTGTTTTAGGTAAAAACACTGGCATTGTCTAGGTACTTGAATGTGACATAGTGATCATTTAGGTGATAATTACAAGGAAGGATTTATTATTAAAATAATCACTTTTTTCTTAGTATGAAACGAATACATGTTCATGGTAGAAATCAGAAAATATAAACTTTAAGAGATGAAATCTAAATGTTACACATAACTGGTTGGGAGGGCTTCTTTTTCCTTTTAGTGTTACAAAGTTAGCCAAAGTTCAACTGTTAATAGAGCTTTAAGTCTATTGAACGGCTGAGTGCAGCATTTCTGGGTTTTCCTCATTGGACTCTATGGGGGATAACAGGTTTTAGAGAATGTTCCAACAATCCTTGCTATGTTGGTAAATATTGATTAGTGCTATAGGGAGAGAAGCTGTGCCCAAGTATATTAGCACTTAGCTGACCACAATTTATGATAAATAATTTTTTGGTATCTTAGGGAAAAACACTGAGACTTAATATTTTATTTGGAATTACTTTTAATACTAACTGCTAACCAAATGTTAGAGAAAAGACTGTAAGCTCTTTAGTGGGCAGGGAAGACGCCCTACTGAGCCTAGTATAAATTTGGCACTCGGTAAATATTTGTTGATGACCAATGGTCTTTATTCTTATATAATCTTGATAATTTCCTCAGAACTGAATATTAATTGGCTGTAGAGGAAAATATGGCCAAAATTCTTATAGAATTATTTTGTACTGCTGGTTCAATATTTACAATTCTGATTGAATATGTTATTAGAAATAAAGTGAAAGTTCTTTGTGGTGTATTTTCTATCTGAATTTTTATTACAGAAAGATACAAATTACTTTTGACTCATCGCGTCCTTCCGTAAGAAAAGTATTCTTTAAATTACACCCTCTGTGAAAGGTAAGGAATCTGAAAATAGCATGGAAAGATGGGTGACTCCTTTTAGATACTTCATGATCATTTAGTGATAACACACTTTGAAGAGATTGCCATTTCTGTATGTTTGAAAGACTAACATGAAATAAATGTTCTTTTTCACAAAATCTAGTGATTCTCCTTCAGTGTGGAGAGAAGACTCAACATCCCAACCCAGCCACTGACAAGTTGATCAACTTGGGTACCAGCATTTTATTTCCAGCTCTTTTATTCTAGGGTTTGAATTTGAAGCCATGACCTATTTATAACTATGCCCCTCAGACCCAACCTGGCCTGAGTGTCTAATTTCTTGGCCACAGTGATTGGTTTAAGAATGGGCCCCTAACCTGAGCTGGACCAGTCAGAGCCCTCTCTGGGAAGCTCCCACCAGAGATACCAGAAAATGTCTTAGTGCTGGGGTTAGGGCCTTAGGGGTCTGTATGTCTGGGCCTGCAGCTACTTCCCCTAAGCGACGGGGAGCCAGGAAGTTTCTGGAGTGCACGTGGGTAAATAAAGCCAGCTGTACTCTGGACTTCTCTGCTATACAAGCCTGATGAATTCCTTTCTTTCCACTTATACTAGTTTGAGTTGGGTTTCTGTCACAAGTAAGAGTCTTGATAGTAAAAGTAGAAAGAGGTGGTTTATAAATGAGCTGGAGAAAATATTAAATGTAACAGCAGAAATTAATGATAATGATAATCCTAGAAAGGATCAACAGAGCCCCAAACAATTCTGTACAAAGATTAGTAAAATTGATAAGCTTGTGGGCAAGACTGATTAAAACAAAAACACCCAGAAGCCCAAATAAACCATATTAGATGAAAAGGCACAGATTCAAGAGATTGAAAAAATGCCTACAAATGTGAAAATTACGATGAAGTGTGCAAATTCCACAACAATGTAAATGACTAAAACCGACTGAAGGAAAAACTAGAAGATCTGAATGTTCCTGCTACCATGAAAGAAATCGAATCAGGAGTTTACAATTTTTCCCCAAAGAAAATTACCAAGCCCAAACTGTTTAATAGGTAAATTCTATCAAACATTCAAGGATAGATGTTCACAACCATAAGCTCCTCCACAGGAGGGAAAAGCCAGTCTTACAAATGAACATAAATGTAAAGATCCTAAACAAAATGTATCACTGTAAGTTTGAGGGTATAAAGCATATACATTATAAATATATATGTGTGAGTATATATAATAGACACATATATTGACCAAGTTGAATTATTCTAGGAGAGGTTGGTTCTACATTATAAAAAACTGATCAGTTGTATTTAACCATATTAGCAAGGTGAATGAGAACAATCCTATGATGATGTCATAGTTACAGAAAAAATTCAATTTCAACCACCATTTTGAACTCCAGTGTGACCTCAGTGAGGCATTCCCTTCCCGCTGACCTTTTTAAACTTGTAATCGCCAACACTCTCCAACTCCCCTTGCTTTAGTTTTCCCTACAGCTCTTCACAATCTAACATAATTTTTTGTTCAACTTTTTAAAAATTGTGGTAAAAAATAACAAAATTTACCCTTTTAACTATTCTTAGGCATATAATCCAGTGAATTAAATACATTCACAATGTTGTGTAACTATCACCATATTTCCAAAACTCTTCATCACTCGCAGTGGGAACCATGAAGCAAGAGCTCCCCACTACCCTCCACCCAACCCTTGGTAACCTCTAGTCATTCCATCACTATGAATTTGCCTAATATATAATTTACCATTTTTCTTATTATCTGTTCACTAGAAGTTAAGCTCCCTGAGGACAAGAATTTTGGGCTCCTTATTTCAAAATTGACAGCACTCACGACAATATCTGGCTTATTAAATATTCATGGAAGGAGGGAGGGAAGGAAGAAGGGAGGGAAGGAAGAAGGGAGGGAAGGAAGAAGGGAAGAAAGGACTTTTAGCAAAGTAGGCCTAGAAGGAAACCTTGATCTAGTAAAAGGAGTATATTAACAATCCTATAGCATCACACTCAACAGTGAAATGTTAAAGACATTCCTTTAAAAACAAAACACAATGCAAGTGATTTCACTTTCGTTTTACTTCAGAAACTTGGAAAGGAAAACATTTTGCTTAATGACTCAAACATATACAAGAAGAAATGATAAATGCAAAATTCAGGATATTGGTTTCCTGAGACGCATGGGAAGTGGACAGGATTGGAGCATCACATCAGGTCTTCTACTGCAATAGGAATGTTCTTTTTCTCGAACTGTGTGGTGGAAGCATGCGTGGTCAATATTCCTGTGTATCTACTCAGTATTAAAAGATGTTTAAAAAATTTTGAACCATAATATTGAGTGAAAAAAGCAAGTCAAATACATTCAGTACATTATTAATATAAAATTCAAAATCAGGCAAAAGTAAAGGATCATTTGTATGCCTAACTTCTATGTGGCCAAACTAAAAAGCAAAAGAAGAATGATTAACATAAAATTTAGGACTGCAGCTCTCTTTGGGGGAAGCAACAACAATAGGACTGAGAATGGTTTATATAGGGCTCAGAAAGCGTTGGTGGTGGTCCTTTCTTCAGCTGGACTTGGTATTTATTATCTAAACCATGCATAAAAATTATATAGCGTTTTTGATTCATGTAAAATAGCAATAAACTGGTTTTTGCTTAATTTGCTTAATTAAGACTTAAATTCAGGTGTCGTCCTAGACAAATTTCATCACCTGTCAACATTTTCTCCAGCACATTTTGGGGTGGGGGGTGGAATTTGTCCCTTGCTGATTTACCTGTCTTCATATTTTTAGGAGATGCCAGTTAACTATGAGCAACCATTTTAACTGAAAAGGCAACCTTTCAATTTAACACCCTACCACAGACTGCATTGCTACAGTCCTTGAAACATTACAAAGTTTTTTTTCTAGGGCATTTTTATGTACAGTGAGTACCCATTCATACTCCCTCTCCCCACAGCACACAGTCTCCCTGATTATTAACATTTTCACTAATGTGGTACATTTGTTATAACTGATGAACCAACACTGACATTATTAACTGAAATCTCTAGTTTATGGTGGGGTTTACTCTTTGTGTTGTACATTCTATGGTTTGTTGACAAATGCACAATGCCATGCATCCGCCAGGCCAGTGTCCTACAGAAGAGTTTCACTGCCCTAGAAACCTCCCGTGCTTCACCTCTTCATCCCTCCCCTACCTCCTCCACCATTCCCCAAACTCGTGACAACCACTCATCTTTTGACTGTCTCTATAGTTGTGTCTTTTCCAGAATGTCAGAGTTGGGATCATGCTGTGTGTAGCCTCTTCAGACTGGCTTCTTTCACTCAGCAACATGCATTCAAGGTTCATGTCTTTTTTATGGCCTGACAGCTCATTTCTTCTTATTGCCAAATAATGGAAAGGCTTCAGTGATTATCCTCATCATCACAGCTACGTGCCAGGCATTATTCTAAGTGCTTCATGCATATTAATTTAACACTTGAAACTTTATAAGGTAGGTACTACCAATATCCCCATTTTATAGGTGAAACAGACATTTTACAGAAGAAACAGAACAGAGAGCTTAAATAACTTGCCCGAAGTTATAGAGCTAAGAAACGGTGGAACAAGATTTGAACTCAGGCAGTCTGGCTCTAGAGTCCAGCCCTTAAGCACTATACTATATTGCTTCATGTAAAAATGTCTAAAAGAATTTCCAGTGCCTACTCTTGTTTTATCAACTCACACTCCTATACTCCCCAACTCTGCCTACTTACAGAGTTGTCATACTTACTCTTTGTTAATAAATTTAGTTACCCAAACAGCAGAAACCTTTCTACTTAGCGCATTATTCCATACAATCAATAATTACCCAATACTGCTGAATAGAGGTAGCTCTTTTTGAGCCTTTACTCTATGCTAATGTCTGCAAAGTAATTTTCATATACATTATTTTACTTCATCCTTATGACATCCCTTTGAGGAGGTGCAATTCTTATCTCAGGAAACTGAGGCTTAAGAGCTTAAATAACTAGCTGAAGGTAATTGAGCTAATAAGTGGTAGATGTGGGCCTTGAACCCCACTGGGATTACTCCAAAGCCTGTGCTCTAAAAACTGTTGTCTTAGCTGCCTCTAAAAGCATCTTTTAGTTGACTGAGCTTTCCAAATTAACATGACATTTCTACAATAAGCTGAAACATTTATGAAACAACTCAGAAGTGGGTCACCAAATTATCTTTATATAAGTGGGATGCTTGTAATGTTCGATGCTCTAACAAGCTCTTGTATCCCCAAGAATGGCAGGTGTATGTGTAAGAACGTTATGGCTGCACTGCTGTAATATGATACTCTTGAAAACACCGACTTTTTTGGAGGAGTGGTTAAGTCACCTGACGCATATCTTCTCAGAAGGATACCCTGCGACCGTTTTAGAAATGAGGCAGGCCTCTATGTATATATATGGAAGATCTTCAAGACAGAAGACAGCAATCTGTAGAGTAATATATACAGTTCCATTTATGTAAACAAGCCAAAACCAAGCTGGATGATCAAGTATGTAAAGAACAGAAAACTGCTGGTTATGCTCAAAACTCTCAGCAGTGCTTCTCTTTGGGGAGGTAAATGGAATGGAGAGTGAGTGAAGGCTACTTCTACTCTTTAATCTATATACTTCTGTGTTGGAATTTATCCTACAGCAAGGAGGTATTCATGTAGTAGTTGTCTAAATTAAAAGATTTTAAAGGATCAGACACAAAATGATTACACATAGCCTTATTACAACAGTGTAGAAATATACAAAGTCAAAATTAAGTTTTGAGAAAAAAATAGTTGGGGTTTTAACTTCATGGTCTCCCCCCACCACCCCCCACCACCATCAGGTAATGTGCTTTAATGTACAAATTAAACTGTTAAAAAATAAGTGAACAGGGCGCCTGGGTGGCTCAGTTGGTTAAGCATCTGCCTTCAGCTCAGGTCATGATCCCGGAGTCCTGGGATCGAGTCCCACATCGGGCTCCCGGCTCAGCAGGAAGCCTGCTTCTCCCTCTGACCCTATCCCCTCTCATGCTGTTTCTCTCTCTCAAATAAATAAATAAATAAAATCTTAAAAAAAAAAAATAAGTGAACAGAATCACACCAAGGAAAATCTGCACGTCTATTTTATTTCCATTAGAAAAATATTATCTATTAAGATTGTGGTCCACTTCCTTCTCCTTTACCTCTACCATTCAAATTTCAGTACTTTAATTTTACTCAAGTAAAAGCAGAATTATATAGCTGACAAGAGAACTAAGTATTTCACATCATTAAATTAAGAGCATTTAACTGAATTACAAGTGCTCTTAATTATTTATCAGGAAGAGTAACAACTCCTCTCTCCTATGATTTATTTCCCTTTACTTTCATTTATTTGCATAAGTATGTAATGAACGTCTCTTTCCCCACATCCAGGAACATGAGTGTGCGTGTGATTTATTACACCAGTAACTGGAGTTGTCATCTGATCCCCAATTCATGCTTCATTCCCCTTATTATATGGTATTTCCATGATGACCTCAAATGTTTAAGTCATTCATAAACTTTCCAACGTCAACTGTAAAAATTAAGATGTTAATTTGAAGACATTGTTAAAATTCCAGACTAAATAACGCTGGACCCACTTATAGCGACGCTGTTGTGAGAGGTCCTTGGACAGCGACTGCCTCAATCTCCACATGGCCTCCCTGCGAGGAAAATAATCAAGCAACGGTTAGGTAATTTTTTACGAATGAAGAGAGCTCTAGAATACCTACTACTAAAACATACAACTGATAGCAATACAGCATTGTTAACATTACATTTTTCAAAGAAGGGAAGGATGGGGAAGCATTCACTGGCAGGCTCCCGTGTCAGACACAGTTGAGTGCATTAGCTCACAGGATTCTCTCGGCAGCTCTAGGGGACAGCGTGCTCTCCTCAATCCGGAGAACAATATATGTGGAAGCTTGGAGAGGTGGTTTTCACCTGTCCCAGGACACTGCGCTAAATGGCAGAGGTTCAAACCCATGTTTTGCGATTCCAAGTTCAGAGCTCCTTCCACTACACTCAATACCTTAGTTAAGTTTGGGAATACTGACCATTCCGAGTAACAACTGGTTAAAACAATAAACATACCACTCATAGAAGATAAATTTTCTTTACAGGGAAGTCAGTAGGCTGCTTTTTTGTAGGCAGGAATACTGTGCTGCTAGGAGCTTCTCATCACATTTGAATACCATAATATCAATGGTGAGAAAATATGTGGGCCACTGGTTTTGAGATTATTTTTCTAATGGAAGTCTGGATGTTTCATTAGGCACGTGAAATTTTTTATTGCAGAGCTCACTACCCTGGCTCAGGGTATAGTCTCTAAATATGTGAAAACAATATAGCTAGTATTTTACTTTCTCTTACAATTTAAGTCCCTCTGATTCTGTTGTGTTCATGTTCATGTGTGGCCTTGACTTTTAATTTTCTTAATTTTTAAGACAAATTAAAAAAATTTCTGAAGTTTCTTAATCCCTCGCCCCCGCCCCCCCCCAGCATATAATATTGGGTATTTCCTTTTAGTCTTTAAGATCCTGGAAAGCAGAGATTATTTCTTTTTTTTTTCTTTAAAAAATTTCCTGCCAAAGTGCTTAGTTTGTTATACTCAGAAAACAACGTAGAAATTTACAATCGTGTACATTAGTCACTTTAAAGTGTACTTACTTTGGGCAAAGCAGCAACCTGGTAAGCAGCTCTTGCAGGAAAACTACCCTTGAAATCTAAAAGAATTTCATTTTAGTTTTCAGACACTGTATTATGACTGTACAATCAAGACTCTGGTAAGTGCTTCACAGATCTGTCCATTCTTAGATATAAGCAACACTAAGAAAAGCTCACATTCATATTTGTTTGATAAAATATTTTGCCATAGGATTCCTATGATATTGAATACTTTTTAAAAATGTCTTAGCTTTCAGGAAAAAATTGAAAATACATGCTTTTGAGACTTCGATCTTGTTTGATATGAATGGGGTTTTATGTTTGGAGCAATATTTATTATGGTATGAACTCATTTAAGCATTCCAACAACCCTATAAAGCTTTATCCCCATTTTGCATATGAGGAAACCAAAGCATAAAAATGTTAACCAGCTAATGATTCTGAGAGCCTGAACAGAGATGGTGTTGAGGCCATATCACAGCAGTAAAAAATACAATCTTTGTGTTAAAAAAATTATTAGGAGGGCTTAAAAAACCTGAGAAGTGTGTAACAATATTAAGCTTTAGGAAAATGAATTCATAGGGTTGTAGTATATTATCCTAGGGAATACCATAGAAATGTCTTGGATCTTTTTCATGGGGGTCACTGTATGTTCTCAATCAGACTATTCTTTTAGGACAGGATCTATGGCCATTTCTTTAGCAGCTCCTATCACTCTTAATTCATAATGGACACTCAATAAGGTTAATAGATTCATTTCTTGTTAAAATGGAATACAGTAATAAAGCCAAATTACTTACACTGCTTGTAGACTTCATTGACAGTGTTGAAGTCATTCATGTCAGCCAGCAAAACAGTTGTTTTTACCACTAGAAGACGTATACATTGTTATTAGGTTTAGCTGTTTGGTCTCACCCAAAATATTACTTAGAAAAACATGTGGTTCTGTGACTGTCTTGATTAAAATGGGACTGAAATTAAAACAACTTTCAAAAGCAATGATGATATGGCATGATGTATTACTGGATGCTGAATGTTCTTCAAAAAGACCACAGAAACATCAAACAGAAATGTGAAGGCATATCAAGTTGCTCACCATTAGTGAAGTCACAGCTTGCAGCTTTCAGAATTTCACCCAAGTTTGTAAGAGCCTATGAAGCAAGGCAAGAAAGGCCTAAGGCACTGATGTTATAGTAAAGTTTTAATTCAACTCAATTAAGCAATTTTTGCTAATACCCCATTGAATAGCTTATGTTGCAGAAAAATTCTCCTTTTCTAGGCAATTCTACTCTTTCTAGGCCACCTCCATATAAGTGAATTGCTTCTTGGCTTTAGTTTAATGGAAATGAATCTTTTTGAAATATAGTGAGACCTTGTCTCCTTTTGTGAGTAAGAGACTGGACTGACGTCTCTTCTTCAGTGCTAGAGTGTGTGGAGTTCTCAGCCGACGTCCACTCAGCTGAAACAGAGAAAGCTCCTGGAGTTCCTAACCCTCTATCACTTGGAGGATAAGTATGAGCCTGTGAGCATTAAAATATGTTTTCTTTTAAAGCAATAATTGATTTTAAAGAGTACTTTTAGCTTTTTCTCAAAAAATAGTATTAGTAAACTAGGTATATGCTTGACACTCTGGCCTTTGGAAAAACATCGGTTTTTACTCATTCCTTAACGTATTATTTTTTCAATTCATTATTCCTCTCCACTTTACTGGTCACATTATAATATTTGATATTTTTATGTTTAGAAAACAGTTCACCTTCTAAATAGGTAACATACAGATATGGCAAAAAATTCAAAAGCTATAAAGAAGCAAATCCAGTGCAAAGATGTCTCCCCCCTGGACTGCCCTTCCCCCGTTTCCTTCAGAGGGGACCACTGTTTCTGCTTCCTTCTATATCCTGTGGAGACAGTTGATGCTCATACCAGCATGAATATGCACACCCGCACACGTGCACAGACACACACACACACACAAAGATGGTAGCATACTGTGCAAGCTGTTCTGCATCTTGGTTTTATCACGTTAACAATTAACCTTGGGGGATTTTTCTGCATTAATTCAATTGTACGGCTCTAGCATGATTTATTTCACTAGTTCCTTATGGACGGACATTTAGGTTGTTTCTGTCTTTGGATAATACAAATGACTTGGCGAATGCATAAAATTATAATTTAATTCTATTTATTGGATTAGAATTGTACTCCCCATTCTTATTTAAAAAGAAAAAACCTACTACACGTAATCTTCAATAGTTCTTACTAACAAATGTTGACTTTTACTTTTGTGGTGTTTTTTTTGCGGGTCAGTGGCCCTGATAAGAAATTTCCCAATCCAGGGACGCCTGGGTGGCTCAGTTGCTTAAGTGTCTGCCTTCGGCTCAGGTCATGATCCCAAGGTCCTGGGATCGAGCCCCGAGCCCGCTTTTCCCTCTGCCTGTCGCTTCCCCCTGCTTGTGCTCTCTCTTTCTCTGACAAATAAATAAAATCTTTAAAAAAAAAAAAAAAAAGAAATTTTTCCAATCCATGTAGAAATGACAAGATGCTATCTGGTTTCAATAATTTAACTGAGAGTTAAGTAATTTTATTGAGATAATGGACATCTAATATTTTATCAGTTTTAGGTATATAACATGACGATTTGGTAATATGTATATACTGAGTGAATATCCAATAATTCAGGTTTGAAGTCACCTTGGAAGGTAGACTTTTTTTTTTTGCTTGTTAAATGATTCCTCAAATTTTGAACTTTCTACTGACATAAAACCGTCTTAAACTAATCAGTATGTAACTCTAAAAGCATTTATCTGATAATCTCTATAAAAAAATCAGCCAAGTAGATTCTTAATACCCCCCAGTATTAAAAAACAGTCAAGAAGGGAACTTCAAATGTGAAAAATGACTTACTTGCTTGGCTTCTTCTGCCACCCCTCCTGGCACAAGCTGACCACTTGCAGGGTCCATGCCTAGCTGTCCTGAAATGTAAACGGTCCTGTCGACTAACACGGCTTGACTGCAACAAACAGAAATTCAGTGTATATAAAAGATATAAAATACAAAATTCAATGCTAAAAGATCTCTTTGCTAAGACACAAAAAGCACAAAATGTAAAATAAAAGACTTAATAATTGGACTTCATTCAAATTTAAAAACTTGCTTTTCTAAAGAGATCTTTAAGAAAATGAAAATATAGGTCACAGGTTGGGAGAAAATATTTGCAGAACATATATCTAACAAAGAACTTGCATCCAGAATATATGAAGAACTCTTATAACTCAAAAACAGGAAGATAAACAACCCAATAAAAAATGGGCAAGTGACTGAACAGGTATTTCATAAAAGAAGACATATGAAGAACTAGGGAGTACATGAAAGATGCTCAACATCACTCATTAGAAAAATGTAAAGCAAAACCTAATAGATACCACTACACACAATAAGATGTCACCGATAATAGTAAGTACTGGTGAAGATGGGAAGCAACCAGAACCCTATACATTGTTGGTGGGAATGCAAAAACAGTACACACTTTGGAAAAGAGTTTGCAAGTTTCTTAAAAACTTAAACATACGCTTAACATGCAACCCAGCAATTTCTTTCCTAGGAACTACCTAAAAGAAATGAAAATATATGTCCAAAGACCTTACATGAATATTCAGAACAGCATTATTCATGACAGCAAAAAAGAAAAACAAAAAATAAAAAAAAAATCCACTGATAGATCCAACTAAAGACTACATATTATTTGATTCCACTTATATGAAATTCTAGAAAAGACAGAATAGCAGCAGAAAGTAGATTAGTGGCTTCCTGGGTCAGTGGTCACTGACCACAAATGTACGGTATGAGGGAATTTTTTGGGGGGGTGATGGAAATGTGCCAAAACTTGACTGTGGTGGCAGGCACATGGCTCTAGACATTTACAAAAATTCATAGTAGTCTACACTTAAAAGTGGGTGAATTTTAATGTAACTTACACCTCAACAGAGCTGTAAAATAACAGAAATGAAATGCCAAGAGCACTCTAAGAAAAGGAGTAATGATTCTCAGACAAGATTTCATCTGGGAGGTTACACCTCATTTCTGCAAAGTGCTTGCTTTTGGAAATGACTTGTAATGAGGATACTAAATTTCAGAATTAGGATAAAAATCACAAGAAACAGAATAAGCCACATCAAGACCTGAAAAAAAGCCAAACAAATCAATTCAATTTTTTTTTTCCTTTTTTTTCCTTTTTGGATAAAGAAAACCCCTCTGTCTCTCTTTTTAATTGTGGCCAAATATATTTACCATTTTAACCATTTTTAGGTACACAATTTTGGGGGGGTGATGGAAATGTGCCAAAACTTGACTGTGGTGGCAGGCAGTAAGTGCCACCATTTTTAAAATGTTGATAAAGAAACCTTAGTAGCAGTTTAAATTCAGAAGTAAAATTTGTTATACCATTTCCATGCTTATTTAGAAGCAGCATCTTCTCATTTCTAATTTTACATTTCTAATACTACATTCTCATTTCTAATCTTTTAGTTCCCTATAGTGTTTTCCAATATGCTCTAAGCTTTCCTTTTATTTCATGATGTTTCCCCTGATTTTCCTGACCATGTTTTTTCTTTATTATATATATATATATATATATATATATTTTTTTTTTAGGCAAGCTCTGTGCTTGAACTCATGACCCTAAGATTAAGAGACACATGCCCTAGTGACCGAGCCAGCCAGGTGCCCCTATAATTTTTTCTTAATAATTTTTTGAATAAGAGAACATTCACATGGTTAAAAAATCTAGACACTATCCAAAGAATCTCAGTGAAAAATCTCTTCCTTTCTTTCCTCCTGCTCCATTTCCAGTCCCTACAGATAACCAATGCTTTTCTTTACATATTCTTCCAAAGTTTTTTCATGCATATATGAATAAAAATGAATATATTATCTTCTGCCTGTTTTATACAACATGTAGTATACTAAACATCTTTTTTTTATACAACATGTAGTATATTAAACACTCCTCTACATTTTGCTTTGTTCACTCAACAATATATCCTGATCTTCCCATAACTGTATGCAGGATGCATCCTTATTCTTTTAATAGTTGTGTAGTATTTCACTGCATGGACATACTTTAACTAGTTACCTTTAATCCCAGCATTTTGTTATTGTAAACAAAACTACACCGAAAACCATCACACAATTTTCCCTGGGCAAGTAACTAAGCCTTTTTTTCATCTGAACCTCAGAGGAGCTTTTTCTATACCATGTACAGGATCTTGCCTCACATCATAGCTCGGTCTGTTCTTATACTACCTCTGGGGTGTGCCAGACTGTAAACTCCCTGAACACAGGAGCTGTGTCTTAGTGTCTCCAGCTGCACAGGGTTGAGGTGACTTCTTGCACGTAGTGGGCACACAGTAACTTCTTGTTGATGTTTTGCTCTCTAAAGGCTTACTAGCTTAAATGACTGGCTGTCAGTAAAGAATCTTTTTAGCAGGACCTACTGGCTTATTGTGTGGGCTTTGGAGAGTGGAACAGGGTAGATTTAAACTTGGTAATAGGATTTAGAAAGTCTAGAAATTCTTCTCAACTATCTGGCTTTCACCCTGGCCCAGAAACAGGTAACTATTGAGTTTGTTAATGTGTAAGCTTTCCTCAGGTTGAAAAGCATCATCAGCTAACAAGGTTTCTTATTAACTGTCCTGTGTAGAACTAGGCTACTCTGGGCCCTTTGCAAAGTAACTTCAGCTCTCTCCATACATGAAACAGTTTAAGCCCATATGCATTACGATTGGTCAAAAAATTTGTGATAGTAAAAAGGAATTCATTTATTCTCCGAAAATTCACAGACGTCTAAGACTATCTGAACTATGTGAGTTATCTCTTAATAGATTAGTAAAGAGATTGTTCACAAAGATAATTAAATAGTTGACCCTTCCTGATCATGGCATCCTACTACCCACTGACAAGTCATTAGACTCCAGAAAATTTAAAAGTATACTGTTCTATTTCCAGGTCATAGGGTAATAACACTTTCAAAAGCATCTCAGTAATAATTCTCAAATTGTAATCTATGCCACATGGACTATCACTTCCAAATTTCATGACTATTTGGGTAGTGCGCTAGCAAAATGAAAATCAATGCAATATTGTGATGTTGACATCTCTCAAGGTTCTGTCCTGAGGTATTCCTGAAATGTGCTAAGCTGATTAGCTAATTGGTGACAACACCCCAGCCATCAAAATGCCAGGGACTGAAAGTTCAACACATTTGAATTCATCCTGGAGGAGACCCAGAATTTTCAAAAACTGTGCTCACTACAAACTCCATGCACAAAAATTGGTTTCCAAATGGTTCTTCAAACATATCCTATTAACTTTATCAGGATATGACTAGTTAGTTGGGAGTGTCATTTTCTTCAAGATAAAATATTGAAAATTAGCACCATTTTTAGTGGCCTTGTATGATCTCTGGATACAAAGAAGCACAAGAGGACAATGTGTCCTAGAAAGTCTCCACACAGTGAAGCTGGTTGATGTTTTGTCTTTTATTATATTGGTATATACATTTGATTTCCTTCTTTTTTTCTTGCAGCTTTATAAAGATAGTTGATTCCGAGTCACCCAGGAATATTAGTGTCATACTTGCTATCTTGAACAAAGTACACACTTGAGGAAGGTGTATGCTCTAGGGTCTATAATCACTTTGTGTTTGTTTCCGGTAGGAGTTGCTTCTGCTCTGAAGTAAAACCACTGAGTGACTGAGGAGGAGGGATCAGGGCAGAGGAGGAAAAAGATTACTGATTTTTACTTTTATTGTAATACCCCCTTAACTATTCTTAATGTCTTCCCCAAATAATTATGAGTACTCTTAAAAGAAATCTGATCATGTCACTTCCTCTTCAAAAACATTTGAAGACTCCTCAGTGCATACAAAATAAAGTTTATGCTCTCCAGTTTAGATAGTTGGGAATGATCACAATCTAGACTTTGCTAAAAGCTAATTTTTAGCAAGAGGCAAAACAGCAATTCAGATTCAAAGTCCAACTCTGAAAACCAGTTGTAGGTCACAAGCAAACTGAATCACAGTAAGGAAAGGACTCCTTTTTCAATTCTCTTTGAGTTCTTCCATGGCAGGAGACAGCAAACTAAATGATGAAGATTGAGCTCTAGAGCTCTGCCTAGGTTCAAATTCTGTCACATCCCATCTTGGTGGTTGACATTGGGCGAATTATTTAACCACGTGTATATCAATTTCTTCATCTGAAAAATAAGTACTGTCATAATAACTGTGTACATAAAGCACTAAGGCACCTAAAACAGTGCCTTGTTCTAAGTGAGCATCAATAAATGTTAGCAGTTATGACATCAATCCTCTGATTACATGAAGGAGAAAAGATATCAATTTTAGAAAACAAAGAAATCTATCAGTTTTAACAAAGAGAGCTGGCCTTGGGTTCTGAGCCAACTGTAGCAGCTTCCTAGGATTTAATTATACTTTTTATTTAATTGAGCTTATTTTTTTACTGTTACCTTCCACTGGGTTGTCTTCTATTGAGAGTACTGCTGTAAAATTTCCTTTTTAAATTTGTTAAAGTGAGCCTGCTTAAATAAAAGTGTTAATTATGATATAGGTGGTACACAGATTTGGCAAATGAAAAAAAAAAAGAGTCGTAGTTGGATTACTAAAACTTCCTCCAAAAAATCTTTATGCCATGTATTTTTCCACAATTATGCCTCAAGTCATTCCCTCTGACTTCCTGCTTAATTCCTTAACAAAGTAATTTAAAAATCACTTTATAACAGTACTATACAGATGGCAAACACAACCTTCAAAACCCAGCTCAAGTACTACCTCTTGCAGGAGCCCTCCTAGATCTTTTTCTTCCTCTGCCCCAAGTTACATCAATTTCTTTCTTCTCCTCTTTTGCCATCCCTCACCCCGCTGACCCTTTACTCCCACTGCATTTTGTTTCTAACCCTGCTATAGTAATTATTGTTCTGCATCTGTGTTATTTTTCATGGCATTGTGGTACAGAGGAAAAAACTAGGGCTTGTTCAAATCAAGCTCTGCCACTTATGGACGGTCTGACCTTGGACAAGTTCACTTTCAGCTTGAGTCTTCCTTTTGTAAAATGAGGATGGGACTTAGAGAAGATTAGTTGTCATAGCATGCACGAAATGAAAGTTTCTTTTTCTTTCCCCCACATGCCTGAATGTCTTTCACACTGCATTAATTCTTACACGTTTTTTGTAGCCTCTGCAGTGCTTGGCATATAGTAGGTACTCAATATATGTCTATCATAGTTGAAGTGTTTCAGTTGTAGTTTTCCATTTGTGGTTATTTTAATAGTAAACAGATACTATATTTTAAAAAGGGAGAATGAGAAAAGGTTTACATGGTATACTTTAGTGAAGAATTTAAAATAACAAAAATTATATTATGGGAAAAAGGTCTCCAAGAATGCATAGGGTAAGATCTAATAGTTTTAAAGCTGAGACGTTTTAAGGAGAAAAAAAGAAAAGAATTTAAAAAAAAAATTTTTTTTAAGATTTTATTTATTTATTTGACGCAGAGAGAGAGACAGCTGGAGAGGGAACACAAGCAGGGGGAGTGGGAGAGGGAGAAGCAGGCTTCCCGCGGAGCAGGGAACCCGATGCGGGGCTCTATCTCAGAACCCTGGGATCATGACCTGAGCCGAAGGCAGACGCTTAACGACTGAGCCACCCAGGCGCCCCAAAAAAAGGATTTTTAAAAAAGAAATTAACCTTTTTATATTTGCAGCACTTCTGACGAGTGGAAATGCATGTACACAGGGTAGACTTTCTGGCCAGTATACATATATTTAGCTAAAGCATGTTGAGGCCATCTTAGGAAATGATTTTTGTTGATTTGTATTTGACTTCATGGGCAATGAATTCATAAACATCCCAATCCATTTCTATACGGACTGTAAAACTCAGTGCCTTGGGTAGATGAGCATCTATTTGCTAAGCATTTCTGTGAAAAGAATTCAGCTCTCTCCAGATGGACACCCACATCTGTTCATGGAATTTACTCCTTTGAATTAAGAGAGGGTTAGACCAAACATTATGCTAAAATGGAAGAAGTCAGTCACAAAGGACCACATATTGTAGGATTCCATTTACAGGAGAAGTCCAGAACAGGCAAATCCACAGAAACTGAAAATAGATTAGTGGTTGCCAGGGGTTAGGGGAAAAGAATGGGGAATGACTGCTAATGGGTATGGGATTTCTTTTGGAGGTGATTAAAATATTCTGAGATTATATAGTGGTGATGGCTGCCCTATTTTGTGAGTATAATAAAAAAATCACTGAATTGTACACTTTGAAGGGGTGAATTTTATGGGTGTGTTAATTCTATCTTGATAAAATGGTTACCAAAAAGAATACAAAACCTGACCCCTTATGGCAGGCGAAGCGCTCTGGCCCTCCGGGTCCGGGGCAGTCCCTGGGAGCACAGGCTCCCGCTCTATGGGTCTCCGGGTGCTTGGACCCTTTCCCGGGTTGTTTCCCGGGTTGTTTCCCGAGTTCAGCGAGTTTGAGTAGGTTGGACCGGATGAAGCCCGAGGCCCGCCCCAGCTCTGACCCGGAGTGGCTCCAGCGCCGGACCCCCGACCCCACATGCCCAGCGTCCGTCCGCGCTCCCCCACGCCTCGTTACCTGTAGGGACCAATGGCCCCTGGGGCTTTCGCAGTGCTGATCACCTTTCTGATCAGAGACGCCATGGCTAATCCTTTTATCGTGCTGCCCCTCCAAGAGAAGAACCCCGTACACTGCCTCTGCTAGCGTCTCACCAGACCAACCAGTCCGGGTAGTAACTCTTCTCCCGGAGCGAGTTCGCTCGGCATTCTGGGAGTTGTAGTCTCAGCCAGGTTCCCGGCCACGTGGAGGCCGCGACTGCGCTGGCGCATGCGCCCTGCAGATTGCTCGCCGCACACGTCTCCACGGAGAGGGCTGTCGCAGAGCCTTGTCATTCTGACTCGGGGAGCCCTGGATTCCTCCCTCAGAGCCTCTGGCAGGTAGGTCGTGAGGGGCTGGTTTCCCCCAGGGTCCGCGAGTTAGGGGGGAGTATGTGACGGCCCCGCGCGGGCCCACCTGTCCGGCTCTCCTCCCAGTCTTCCGTCGCTCAGACCCCGCTGACCTCCTCCTCCCTGGCAGCCTGCGCCTGGGCCCCGCTTGCCGCCCCGCGCCTCCTTCGGCCCCTGAGCTCGAGCCCCCTGCGTTTGTCATTTCCCCGTGTTGTCCCGCCGGGCGGACGCCGTCCTCGGAATGGGCTTGCGCCCCCGTCCTGCCAGGCGCTCTGAAGGAATGAGTTGGGTCATTAAGGGGACCACGCTGAGATCTGGGCGTCGTCCACCTCCGCCCCTCCCATGTCCCCATTCATGAGTGCTCCTCCGGCTTCACAAGGTCTCTACGCATTCCCCTTAGATCTGAACCGAGCCCTAGTGACTGGGATCTGATTTCAAAAAGGAAGATAGAAGATGGCTGGTCTCTTGGCAGATAGTCATGCCGTGTCAGAAGGAGTGGTACTTGGCCAAATATTTCTCATTCCGTAAATAAATGCATTATAAGCACGCTTCACTCCATTTATGCTGGCAGGTTTACATTCAACAAATATATGTTGAGCCCAATTTGTGCAAGGCACATCGCTAGGTGCTGGAGGGACAACCGTGAAAAAGACAGGTAGGATTCCTGCCGTGCCCTGCTTCTAAAACGTAATGTAAGAAAATCCTCATTATTCCTTCTCATTTGTCCTACATACTGCAAAGGTTTGGTTTTCCTACTTCCTGCTCAAGAGCCTTTAGAGCTTTTTCATTGGTTTGGGGCTTTAAGCATGTAATAAAATAGAACTTCCAGTCTGGTTTTCCTGGCCTACTCATCCCACTCAAGTCATCCAGAGTCCTCACTCCTGAAATCACACAGAAGATTCCTGAATACTCTTTCTTCCCTATCCAAATTCCACACAGCTGAAATCCTATTTTCTCATCGACTTTCCCCGTGGATCCACATTTTCTCTTCTTACTCAGCTTCCTATTGTGCTATACTGCAAAATTCAGTCTTTTAATGTGTGTTGTCTTGTTCTCTAATTGGTTTGTGTCTTAAAAATAGTGAATAGAGCCAGACTGCCTGGTTTGACTCCCAGCGCACTTACAATCTTATTATTGGCCTTGGTCAGGTTATGTTACCTCTCTGTGCTTCAGTTTCTTCATTTATAAAATGGGGGTAGTACTAGTACCTTCCTCATAGAGTCTTTGAGAATTGAATGAATAAGGCATGTAGACTAGTGCTTGACACATAAAGTTCTCCATAAATGTTAGCTGTTTAAGACAACCAAATTCTTTAAGGAAAGAGGCCACAACCTTGTGCTGCTTTTGTATACACACAGCCTAAAACTAATGAGCAAGAATAGATCCCAAAAGGTTGTTAAATTTGATTAAACTGGACAATTAGGAGATGCTTTTTATTACAAAGTAATTCACCATGTGCTTCTTTAAGGAGTTCTCTTGGGGCATTACAAATAATTTAACTTGTGTAAAATATTTCTTGTGAAACAAGATACCTGTATTCTTTTTTAATAAGATTTTATTTATTTATTTATTTATTTATTTATTTATTTGAGAGAGGGAGAGAGCGAGCGTGTGTGTTAGTGGGGGGTGGAGCAGAGGGAGAGGGACAAGCAGACTCCGCACTGAGCATGGAGCCAGGTGAGGGGCTTCATCCCACGATTCTGAGATCATGACCTGAGCTGAAACCGAGTCGGACACTTAACCAACTAAGCCACCTAGGTGCCCCAAGGTACCGGTATTCTTAAGGCAGATTTTGTATCAAGTCTAAATCACCAACTTCTTAGATCTGGAAGAAATCAGAGATCATCTGGTTAATTCCCAGGTTGTCAAACTGGAGTCCATTATAAAGGAGTGAAAATGGTCAACCAGGTGATAGTAAGCTGTGTGAGAAAACATATGTCCAATTTATTTGAAGATTTTGGGGAAAACAGTTTTATAAAGCCTGGCACATATTTAGTGCTTGTTAAAGCTAAATGAGTAAATGTGGAAACACAAAAACTGAGTAATATAGTGAAACTCACCAGATTGTTCAGGTAAGAGTTAAGATTTCTTCTGGAAGCTATTTTTAAGCAAAATCTTCAGACCTCATAAGAGTATAGTCTATATTCATTCTCTTCTGCTGCTAGAACTATTTGAGGACCACCGCTAGTTCAATCTGCTAATTTTTTAGTCTGGTATCAAAGCTTACCCCAATCCCCGAGTCCCAGCCTGCTCCTGGCCTATTCTAGTGCTGAGTAGACCAGAGTTCCCAGGTAGTGCTCTGATTGCTGGGTAAGTTCTGATTCAAGCAGATAATAGTAGGTGAACTAAATTGTTCTGTAAAACCATTCTGAATGGTTCTTAATGCAGACTGATCTGAACCATGTCATTCACTAGCTGACTAGTTCTGCAGAACTTCATTTACTTCATATATATATATATATATATATTTTTTTTTTTTTTTTTAGTGCAAAATGGTGGTTTTATTAAACAAGGGGGCAGGACCCATGGGCAGAAAGAGCTGCTGCCCCCCACGCCCAATCCCACCCCACACCCACACCCACCACCCCCCATATATTTTTTAAATTTAAAAAGTGGTTTTGGTGTACATGTAGTTGTCCTTTATTTAGGTGAAAGCAGAATGGAATGAGAAGGTGAAATGACGTAATCTTGTTATTTCAATCTGCCTCCTCTGGCCGGCTCAGTTTTATCATCTCTCTCTTCTCACTCTGTTTGAGAATAATAGCTACCGTTAAATCAAGCCCTTAGTTTTTGCAAAGCGCCATGCTCAGTATGTTATGTACATTACTTTATTCTCACAGCAACCTTGTGATGATTCCCATTTATAGAGGAGGGGACTGAGGCTCAAAGAGGGAAAGTAACTTTCCTACGATTATGTAACTAAAAAGTGTTAAGGAAGGTATTTGATCCAGGTGTTTCTAACTCCAAAGGAAGGGTTCTTAAATACTACACAACACTGGTTACTCTTAATTTTGAATGAAGCCCAGCATTGGGAAAGAGGTAAGTGAATGGGTGGTAGTTCATTCAATGGCATTCAGTAGGAGTGGTGCGATTCTTGATGTGGCAGTCTGTTAGTTTGTGCAGGTGTTTTGGTTGGCATAATGAGCAGGGTAACACTGCTGAAATTTATCGGGCGGGGCCCAGGGATGTCAGACATGCTGGAGTGTGCAGGAAAGTCCCACAGTAGCCTAATACCTGTTTTACATAAGAGCACAAAATATCAGTTACATGGTTTTAATATACACTGAATTTTCCAGGAATGCAATAAATCAAAACAAGACTGTACTCCCTCCCCCTCTCCTCCTCTTGCTGCTTGACCGAGGGGTGTCCGCTAGTTTGGAAAACTACGTCACCAGTGGCCTTGCTGCCTTCTCTTTGAGGCACAGGTACAACCCACTGTACTACTCTACCTCTGGAGCTGTTGCGTTCGTGGTAATTCTCTGTATAGGTGCCCGTAAAGACTAGTGTAAAAATACTGAAATGCTTTGAGAACGGCTTGGCTCTGCTACTCTGAGCTTCCTTCCTTTGCACAGGATTCTTTTTTTTTTTTTTTTTTTAAGATTTTATTTATTTATTTGAGAGAGAGAGAAAGCATGAGATGGGGAGGGTCAGAGGGAGAAGCAGACTCCCCGCTGAGCAGGGAGCCCGACGCGGGACTCGATCCTGGGACTCCAGGATTATGACCTGAGCCGAAGGCAGTCGCTTAACCGACTGAGCCACCCAGGCACCCCTAAAATAGAAGTTTTGCTGGGAAAATCTCAATAATAGACCACTAAGTTCCAATAATGTTTTGCTTTTTTTTTTTTAAGATCTTATTTATTTGAGAGAGAGTGAGCGAGAGAGAAAGAGAGCAGGAAAATAATATAACAGGGAGCAGGGAACCCCATGCCGGGCTCGATCCTAGGACCCTCAGGATCATGACCTGAACCGAAGGCAGCCACTCAACCGACGAGCCACCCAGACACCCCTGTTTTGCTTTTATTTTTTTATTTATTTTTTTTAAGATTTTATTTATTTGAGAGAGAGAATGAGATAGAGAGAGCATGAGAGGGGGGAGGGTCAGAGGGAGAACCAGACTCCCCACCGAGCAGGGAGCCCGACGCGGGACTCGATCCCGGGACTCCAGGATCACGACCTGAGCCGAAGGCAGTCGCTTAACCGACTGAGCCACCCAGGCGCCCCAGAGGAAAAGTTTCTTTTTTCTTTTTTTTTTTTTTAAAGATTTTATTTATTTATTTGAGACAGAGAATGAGAGACAGAGAGCATGAGAGGGAGGAGGGTCAGAGGGAGAAGCAGACTCCCCGCCGAGCAGGGAGCCCGACGCGGGACTCGATCCCGGGACTCCAGGATCACAACCTGAGCCGAAGGCAGTCGCTTAACCGACTGAGCCACCCAAGCGCCCAAGATTTTTTTTTTTTTGACAGAGAGAGCGAGCGAGAGCAGGAACACAAGCAGGGGGAGTGGGAGAGGGAGAAGCAGACTCCCTGCCAAACAGGGAGCCTGATGCGGGACTCGATCCCGGGACTCCAGGATCATGACCTGAGCCGAAGGCAGTCACTTAACCAGCTGAGCCACCCAGGCGCCCCTTTGCACAGGATTCTTCAGATGTCCCCCCAGTCAGTAAGAACAGAGTTAATGCCTATGGCATGGGGCTCGCAGGCCTCTTCCGCAGCTTTTGGCAGATCGTGCCAGTGCTGGTACTGGTGCCTGTGTTGTGGTGATTCTACCCGAGTTCAGAATATCTCCCTGTTACATAATGTCACCCAGGAGTGGTG